GGGGGGGGGCAGATGGTGGGACAGTTTCCTCTTGTACAGTTCAGCCTGACGAGTATGAATTACGATACGTTCGCAGACAAATACCCTTGTTTGTATACGAAGAGGGGAACATATTCATCCGCACACCATAAAGTGGACGATCTCGCTGCGGAGTGGGCTATAAGGGAAACCAGCAACGACCCTACACTACGGGTTTTGCAGCGACCGAAAGAGCACCGATTTCTTTGGTGGCTATCCGTACTCCATCACCACGAGTCTACTCATCATTTGCCTTCACCGCAGCAGCTTGAGAAGCCCGACGAGGTAAAGCGTCTGACCATTCCGCGACATACCCTGCCCGACGAGATGAACAACACCCAGAGCGAGCCAAAAGCGTGCGAAAGCTGTGGAGGGGAGACTGAGCGTTGCTGGACTAGAGGTGCTGAATCGCACACTATACGATGTGACAGATGTTGAGTGAGGGACAGGAAGTGATGTTCGCACAAGACGTGTCCGCCTTAGTAAGAGGCTCTGGTTAGTGATCAGTCCACAGAAATCCGGCTAACCGTATGGGGTAACATTATTTCTTTGCTAGCTCACCAAAAAGCACGGTCCGAACAATTAAGGAAACATAACGCTGGCTTACGATATCAGATCAGAATTTTGGTCTCGGTATGTGACGGACGAAGGTAGGAGGATCTCGCAGGGGTTATCGGTCGACGATATAAAGGTCGACGGGTTTACAGAAATGGTCAACCAACACATCCATCACCCTCGACGCTTCAATCAACTGCCTGACGATTGATCATTTCTATATACACCATCTACTCCTCAACTTCCCAATCACCCAAAACCAGCCTTCCGAGATGTCAACTCCCTCTCTTCGCTCGGTCATCGGAGTCCCCAACTCAACAGCATCGGTCAAAGACTCCGTTCTTGTCATCATCGACGCTCAAGACGAATACATCTATGGTATCCTACCTGCTCAAGACTACAAGGAGGTTAACGTCGCCATCTTCAGCCTCCTCGAAAAATACCGAAAGCAAAACGGCCACGTCATCCACGTCCTGCACAACACGGGCGATGACGAAGCAGCTATCTTCAAGCCTAATGGCAAGCTCACCAAGGAGATGGACGGCGTCGAAGCTATCGACGGCGAGCCTGTCGTGTGGAAGAAGCACGCTGGATCTTTCTCTGAGACAGATCTAGCAGAGGTTGTTAAGAAGACTGGGCTTAAGAAACTTGTTCTTACGGGATACATGGTACATGGGTGTGTGTCGAGTACCGCTCGCGAGGCGACTACTTTGGGATACGAGGCTCTTGTTGTGGAAGACGGTGTTGGTCAGCGCGATATGAAGGATATTCCCGCTGCGCAGGTTAAGAAGGTTGCGTTGACGGAGATTGATGATATGTTTGGTACGGTTGTGAAGGCTTCGGAGATTAATTAGATGTATGAGATATGGTTTGGTTGATACTCCCCGTGCTGATCAGCGGAGCATCCTGTACGAAATGACATTTATATGATTATTCTCAATGCATCGGAATCGTGTAATCACCATGTGTGTACGTCGCGCACCGAATGCCGAGGCCTCATTCTCTGATAGTCGTGCCGACATTTGAGCCTTCGCTGGCTCGTTTGCGGTGGCCGAGTACGAAACCTTCTTCTGTTATAGGCGTTCCGACACTTGAGCCTTCGCTGGGCCGTTTGCGGTGGCCGAGTACAAAACCTTCTTCCGCATCGAACATCAGCTTTGTCTTCGCAGCTTGACCTCTCAGCGGTTGTGCCGCCCGTGTTTTAGAATCTTCAAACACCTCCTTGACCTGGCTTACTGTTAGTTACTAATCGGGTGTATCTTTTCCATTCACACTTACATCGAAACCCTGCATTGCTGTGCCAAAAGTAGACATGCGATTGTCATAACATGCACCGTTCTTCCACATCGCAAACAGTCCAAAGGCAATGGAGATGGTACTAGCAAGGATGGCCAATCCGTATGAGAGCAGGAGGTTCTGCGGGTTATAGGCGTAGACGACCGCAGAGGTGGACGTGGTGACATTGACAGGGACTTTAGTACTTTGTTTCCAGCGTTAGCCTTCGAACACATCATAAGATTGTAGCTTACCAAAGCGAAGCATCGTTGATCATACTCAACGACACATTCAGCGCAAACGCTTCGACGTCCTCTCGGAATGAGATATCCCGGACGCTGGATGGGTTTTGGAGAGTGTTGACAATTTGGATTGCCTGGTTCATGTCGCGAGTCATGTTGTAAAACTGCGCCCCCGTAGAAAGAGATGTCGCGTCAAGCCGGCCAGTCGAATCCAGTGACATTCGCGTCCTATCCCTGTGCCAGGCGACATACCCAAGCAAATAGCTTGCTAGGCCTATGGTATATCCAGAATAGGCAGGAGAGCCCTGACCTGGCGAGAGAGAGCTATTGACCCACGCATCCTTCGGATCGTACTTGTTGAGTAACTCCCAATGAATGTTCTCGATACCGACTACACTATTGCGGGTTTTGACGGTGTATGAGACAGTAGCGTTCCACACTTCGCATGACAAATACTCCGTATCAGATTGATACGGTACATCAGTTGGTCTTTTCTGAATAGCAAAAGCAAACTCGTTGGTGGTTTGCTCAGTATTGTTCCAGTTCAGACCTAATGGAGTTTTCTCCAGGGTCCTTGGATATGAGAGTCCGAGGTAACCAATCTCTCCGTAGGAAGGGATCTTAGAGTTCGTCCATTTCAGACTGTCAGTAGTCAAGTTATTCACCGCGGCGACTCTAGTCTCGTTGGCAAATCGCAATATATCGTCGTGCACGGTATTATTTGCTGCGGTGCAATTCAGTACCGGTAGAAAGGCTTCTGTCTCGTACGATGTGTTTAGGTGAGAATGAGGCGTTTCGAATGGAAGACGGCTACCGGAAGATGCGACTGCGTTGACGATTCGTCCGAGCCGAGCTGAAGGACCCGAGATCCAGGGAAGGTACGCCGAATTCCTAAGAACGAACGCGTCTGACATGCTGAGGTTGTTCATATCCGCGCTTAGCGCTTGTTCTATAGAGTGTGATTGCGTTGTTCTCGTCTCGACTGATAATGTTGGGGGAGCGAACAATGTTGGTAACGGTAGACACCTAGAAACCGTCAGTAACACTCATTCAACTGTGCATCTATCGATTACCATAGTATGAGTGCAACTATGAGCCCTAAGTGCAGCTTCCGGATGACTTCAAGGTTGAAGAAAGCGGATAAGTTTCTCGAGATATCGAAAGAGTCGTCGATAGATCTTAAGCTTATCGATCGCTTCCGGAGACGCATCCATACATACTGCGTGTATGCGATGCCGACAGCGATCTTGAAGCTCAGAGCGATGCTGATTGCAAAAGCGTTACCGAAACTTACAAGGGTCAGTCATGAACCAGGGCTTATGTTTTGGTACATACCGTAATGACCACTGCTGTCGCCCTGTCGAGCCTATCACATCTCCATCCAGCATTGTGTAATATCGATGATGTCCTACTGCGAGAGCAATGCCGAAGAAATAAGAAGCCAACATGTTTGTAGGAGTGAGCCAATGGGATTTTGCAAGTGTTCGGAAGTTAGTGTTGTGCCCAGAATTAGCTGTCAGTGATTGCAGAGCAGATGCAGCGTCGCCATCGCCTGCATGAGGTATTAGCGGTATGTCCGTTTGGGACATTGCGCTATCGTGTCGCCGATGAGCCATTGCGATATGTGGTGTAAGAGCTCAGACCAGGATTAATAGTATAGATGTACCGAGCTGGTAGCGTAGGCAAGAGCGAAGCGACGAAAAGAAGAACTTGCGCGACAGATTCCAAGGTAACAGGTACTTCTTGTGGTGCATCCCTCCTGTGCTCAGCCCCGCCATCTAGCCAAAGCCTATAAGTCCTCGATAGCTCTTTGGGCGATGTTTATGCAGTATTGCGGCGTGGCTAGGCTGTGAAACGTCAAATGATTGGCCGAGCCTACTTTGCAAGCCTCCATGTGACGAATTCTACATGGTTCTAATCTATGTGTTTACCCCACTCACACATCCTTCTCTGCATGAATGACAACATGCTCGGTCGATCTTCGCCCAGATACCCCTCTCAGAATAGGGCTGTCGTCTAGCGGAGCTACACCAGCTCGCTTTGCCTCCGCTTCTGTGAAGGTACCATATAAATCGATAGGATCGATCTGGTCCATATCAGGAACTGGGGAGATCTTGTTAAGGACGTAGAAGACGAAAGCGCTGATGAAAAATCCTATCAAGGTGTCAGTGGCCCTTCAATTTCCACTATCGTGAGATAATCCACTCACCTATGAAGAAGGCCATATTGTAGAGCTGTACCAAAGCCCGTGGTGGATCGACATCTCCTCTTACTGTCACTATAAGACCCCCAATCGTCGGGATCCATCCACATAACCATGAGGGTATCGCCCGCCAGTTGAAACCTTTGGTGAACCAATACGACGAGTTTTCAGTTCGATATAGATGACTCAAGCGGATCCTTCTCTTCCGCAAGAGGAAGTAGTCGCATGCCATTATGCCGATGATTGGTGCCAAAAACACCGAGAAGGAAGACAGTACGGCGATAAATGTAGTGGCACGGTTGATAAGTTGCCAGGGTTGAACGACCCATGCCGCCACAAACGTAATGATGGCACCACGTCGTATGTTGATGTAACGTGGGAAAAGGCCAGCAAGGTCGATTCCACCGGAGACAGCGTTTCCACAAATGTTCTCGAACATTGCGGTAAATGCGAAACCTGCAGCCAAGAAGAATACCCCCGCACGTGCCTTCGATGAGCCGTTACCGTTGTCCATCATGCGCATGAGTAGATCCGGTGGGTTCCAATAGATCTCTCCGTACAACTTTTGTCCCGACGCAGTTGTAACAAGACCAACCAGGGAGACGATGACGCTGGTGATCACACAGCTAGTGATAGTGCCGACCATGTAGGGCGTTCTTCCACGTGAATAGCGTGAGAAGTCGCTGCCATTTGTGATGCCCGCAGCAATGCCACCAAGGGTCTGATTGATGCCAGCCATGATGAGCCACGAGGTACCCCAAGCGGAACCCGAGGGAATGTTTTCGCCAGCATCCCATAGAGGGCCTACACCTTTAGCAGTTGTCACTGCCCAGATCATCCATGCCAACATTCCGATGCCGCACCAGAGGCAGACTATGAGGAACGGTATCTTGAACTTCTCCGGTCGCAGCCACAAGAAAGGTGTCGATATGAACCAGAAAACAACAAATCCCACGAACTGATCGGTGGTAGCAGGGAAGTTAGGGCTGAAAGTATTCGGCATGCGTGCATACGAAGGCCAGATCGCGGTCAAACATACAGCGACTAGACGGCCGCCATTCCAACCTGGTTCAGGTTAGCATCATAGTACCAGGCTCATCCTCATAGTACTCCAACTTACATTGAACGGCGTTCCAAATGAAGTTGAGCAAGATTCTTTGCGACAAAGGTATAAAGCTTCCGCGCATTCCCCAACTATATCTGTTTTGCACCGTGAAGCCAATATGCCACTTCAATCCAACCCAAGCAATAAGTGTGGAGAAGAAAGCGATCAAAAGGCAGCTCACAACGATGATAAGAATAGATTGCGAGACAGATAAACCCATAGCTTCGGTGATATCAGCGATCGAGAGCGACAAAAGTCAGTTGATGTTGCTTACTCAAGAAGGTACTTGGTGTTTGCCAATTCGCGAGGTTCAGCGATGAAATCGCCCAAAACCCGAAGAAATTGAACCAGCCCCATGTCCTGCGCTCTGGCGGGAGGGGGATTAAATCGCGGTTGCTCCATGCATCTGTTTGCTCATGCTTCGCATCGTCTCCACGGAGACGTACTTTCTCATCGATATTCTTCAAGCGCTGTCTCAAAGTCATAATGAACGTGAAACAAGGGACGCGTCGCCAGTCAAGGAGGCTGGGAGGGAAGTAATTGCGACGAACGCCAGTGGTGAGCTCTTTCCGCCATCTTAGTGTTGCTACCCTTGTTATCAACCGCGCTCGGAGTCACCCCAATCTAGGTGATCTAACGCCGACCCAAGTTTAGTGAAGATGATAATGCGCCGACGGGGGCGACGATGCAGCATACGCGGGAAGAACACCTTATCCGCCGTTAGAAAGAGGGGTATTTGCGCCTATCTTATCTGATCATCCGAGCGCCGTGATCAGCGCCGAAGAAATCCCATCTCAAGCTCTGCTGCTACCAATAGGCAAGCTGTTGATGACGGGGTAAAGAATTGGAGTAGGAAGTAACTCCAAAAGTGGGGTATGGGTGAGCGATAAAGTAGGAAGGCGGCTTAGGGCGCGAACGTCCGAATCCCGGAGCTAGTTCGCCCCACCAATCGAAATCTTATCAGATGGATTCTGGACGCATCGTGACCAGCCAACTCCAATTCGATCAGAAGAGGCTTTTATCTTGGAAGTATCTATGGCTACGATGGCGACAGGGAAGAATCTGCGAATAGGCGTTGACGTCGGTGGGCACGTACTAAGCATCAGAACTACGAGAGCCATGAGGCTAATACCGCGCATAGAACCAACACTGACGGAGTCATCATTGATCCTATAAGATCGGGTGAAGATGACCGAGGAATTGTTGCTTGGTACGAGTCCTATACCCATACGTTGAACACCACGCTTCTTCGCTTAGCCCACTCCCTCATAAGATCCAAAGAACATCCATGATGATGCCTACCGGAAGTCGATCACCCCCTGACGAGAACGCGAGCTCATACCATAACTCAGGCACAAGGCACCCACTACTACCGACCCAAGCCATGGCATCGCCGACGCCATCACCACGATGTTCAAATCCGCCTCAGTCGATCCATCGTCCGTCGCGAGTGTGACAATCGGAACGACCCACTTTGTCAACGCGGTCGTAACCCGCGACCGAACACGTCTTTCTCAAGTCGCCGTTCTCCGTCTTTCTGGGTCTTTCAGCAAACATGCACCGCCATGTGTCGACTGGCCAGCTTCTCTACGTAACATCATCCTTGGGCACTATGCGCTCATCAAAGGAGGGCTAGAGGTGGATGGAAGCCTGATTTCCGACATCAAAGAGCATGAGATAGTAGAGCAATGCAGAATTATCAAAGAGAAGGGAATCAAAAGTATAGTCGTGAACGGCGTCTTCAGCCCTATCGATACGGTAGAGAAGCAAGAAGAGCGTACTGCGGACATAATTCGGCGTGAGCTAGGAGACGGTGTCGATATCGTTCTTAGCAAGACCGTCGCAAACCTGGGATTTTTAGAGCGCGAAAACGCTGCGATACTCAACGCCTCGATTCTGTCATTCGCCAGGAAGACGATAGCATCATTCCAGACACCAATCAAGGCACTTGGACTGAACTGCCCTGTTTTCATCACCCAAAATGACGGCACGATACTGAGTGGCGAAGCCGCAAGCCGACTACCGATTCGAACCTTCTCATCCGGCCCAACAAACAGTATGCGTGGTGCTGCTTTCCTTGTCGGAAGGCAAGAAAATGGCGAAGCAATGATGGTTGTGGATGTCGGTGGAACTACCACCGACGTGGGCTTGTTGCTCGCAAACGGCTTTCCCAGGCAACAGGCCGCATACTCAGAGCTTTCGGGTGTGAGGATGAACTTCTCGTATCCCGATGTGAAAAGTATAGGACTAGGGGGTGGTAGTTTCGTGAGAAGAGTTGGAGACAAGATGCAAGTAGGGCCTGAGTCCGTGGGTTATAAGCTACCAGAAAAGGCGCTCGTCTTCGGTGGTGATGTTCCGACAGCGACTGACTACATCGTCGCTGCTTCATCCGATATTGCGATAGGGCAGCCGGAAAAGGTACGGGGAAAGCTGCAAGACGATGACATACAAGCCTTCAAAGCCGAGACGACAAGGATGCTTGAAACAATCATTGACAAGATGAAGACATCACCTGATGATCTTCCCGTCCTGCTTGTCGGCGGTGGTGCGGTCATAGCTCCAGACGAATTGAAGGGAGCAAGCAGAGTAATCAAACCTCAATGGTCCGGTGTAGCTAACGCTATTGGCGCCGCGATGGCGCGAGTGAGTGCCGTAGTCGACACGGTCAAGTCCACCGAGAAGCAGACGCAGAAAGAACTACTAGCTGAAATATGCGATGAGGCCAAACGAAAGACCATCGAAGCAGGCGCATCAGCGGAGACGGTCTCTATCGTCGAAGTGGAGGATCTACCATTACAATACGTGGCCCACAAAACGCGATTTATGGTCAGAGCTGCGGGAGACTTTGACTTCTCACGAGCTGGAGATTTCATAGATTTGAATATCACTCAGGAAGGAGGCAACGTAGAGACTGGGTCAAAGGGTACGAACGATGCCATCGCAGCACCTTCGACCGAAGAGGCGTCTAGCGAGGTTGATGCAGCACCCGAAGTTGACATCGCTGCGTACATGCCCAAAGTGGCGAACCGAGAGTGGTGGATCTCTGAGACCGATCTGGACTGGATTACCATCGGCTGCTACATTCTTGGTACTGGCGGCGGAGGCTCTCCCTACTCTACCATGCTCAGAGTGCGCGGAATCCTACGGTCTGGCGGGAAAGTTCGCGTCGTCAGTCCAGACGATCTCAAAGACGATGCGCGAGTGGGAAGTGGTGGTGGTGCTGGTAGCCCAACAGTCGGCATCGAGAAGCTGTCCGCTGATGAGTAAGTCATGTATTGGCGCCACACCATGCCTTTGCTAACCTTCGCTCAGAATGATGGATGCTCAAAACCACCTCTACGATCTCATCAAGGGTGGTTACGCGACGCACATCATCCCTCTCGAAATCGGCGGCTCAAACGGCTTGCAGGGTCTCGTATTAGGTGCATCAACTAACATGAATGTGCCATGTGTAGACGGTGACTGGATGGGCCGAGCATATCCAACAAAGTGGCAAACAACCCCGGTCGTCTTCGGCGAGCGAGAAATCGTGTTCGCGCCTGTCGCGGTGGCCGATGGTAACGGCAACACGCTATATATGCCAACTGCAACGAGTGACCTCAAAGTCGAACAGGTCATCAGAGCAGCATTGAGCCAGATGGGCAGCTCCGTCGGAACAGCTGATGCTCCGGTTACAGGCGCTGAAACAAGACGTTGGGCTGTTGAACACACAATCTCGCTATCGTGGAGGATAGGGCGAGAAGTGGCACGCGCCCGAAAAGAGAACAGAATCGACAATGTCGCACAGTCAATCATCGACGCGGTTGGAGGTTCTGAAACAGGGCGTGCGCTTTTCAAGGGCAAGATTGTTGGTGTAGAGCGCAAGCTGTACATGGGCCACGTGTATGGCGAGGTGATGATAGAAGCTACGGGAAGCGAGTACCAGGGCAAGATCAAGATACCGTTTAAGAACGAGAACATTGCTGCGATCCGGATACCGGATAGTGGAGAAAGCACGACTGGGGAGGAAAAGAACGAAGATGTTCTGGCTATCGTTCCCGACCTTATCGCGGTCATTGATGCGCAAAATGGCGAGGCTATCGGAACGCCAGAGTATCGGTACGGACTGCTAGTCTCGGTGATCGGTATCACTGCGAGTGAGCGCTGGACTAGTCCGAAGGGTATTGAGATAGGTGGCCCGAAGGCATTTGGATTGGACCATCTGGAGTACAAACCTTTGGGCAAGTTTGTGAAGCCTATCAGCGTTATCGACGAATATGACGGAAAGGCATGAGCGCCAGGCCCGGCACTTGGCTGAACTGTTTGAGTAGGTATGCGATGTTTTAGATGTCTTTGCGTCTAGGATTACTCAGCCTGCTTTGTACCAGGATATAACGGCAGGATGATCTTCACAGCAGCCTCGTAGCTTGTGAATAGAATACCTCCACTAAACACCGTGCGACCTAACCTCATCGTCGTGCCTTTCCAAAAACCCTTGATCCCGTAATCCAACAAAACACTCTTTACAGCCTCTGCAGTACTCGTGCCTTTCGCACTCTGCGAACGCGTCTTAATAACGTCAAAAGGCTGCGTTGCAAGCGTTGTCACAACGCCTGCTACTGATCCGTTTGCGAAGTTCACCAGCGTATTTTGTT